ACGGGGCGGTGGCGCCTCATCTTTTGGGCCACATCGGGCTACGGCGGCCTGACGGCGCTGGTGGGCTTCCTGCTGCTGCCCGAGACGTACGCGCCGCGCATCCTGCACTCGAAGCGCAACCGGCTGCGCAAGCAGACGGGCAACGCGGCGCTGCACACCGTCTTTGACGCCGACGGCGGCGAGGCGTGGTACACGCGCTTCGGGCACAACCTCGTCCGGCCGTTTATCCTGCTGACGACGCAGCCCATCATCCAGGTGTTTTCCGTCTTTATGATGATTCTGTACGGGTGCATGTACATCCTGCTCACCGTGTTTCCGCTGGTTTTCGAGGAGACGTACGGCGAGCGGCCGGGCGTGGCGTCGCTCAACTACATTTCGCTCGCCATCGGCTTCACGGTGGGCGGGCAGGTGGGCGGGCGCGTCGTCGACCGCGTCTACCGGCGGCTGCGCGACGGGCGGGGCGGCGGCGTGGGCCAGCCCGAGTACAAGCTGCCGCTGCTGATGGTGTCGTCGCTGCTGCTGCCCGTCGGGCTCGTCGTCTACGGCTGGACGGCCGAGCGGCGCGTGCACTGGATCGTGCCCAACCTGGGCGCCGTCGTGTTTAGCGCCGGGCTGATGGCGTCGTTTCTCGTGTCGCAGAGCTATCTGGTCGACGTGATGCCCCTCTACGCCGCCAGCGCCCTCGCCGCCGCCGTGTTTTTGCGCAGCCTGGGCGGGTTCGGCTTCCCGCTGTTTGCGCCCGTCATGTACGACAAGCTCGGCCAGGGTTGGGGGGTGAGTGCCGGTGCGCCGTGGGCGGGCGGGCGAGCGGACACAGAGAGACAGCGCGCGCTGACCGTGACCCCTCTGCTTTCTCTTTCTTCCTCGTCCTGGCCGCCCTGGCGACACGGCAGAACTCGGTGCTGGCGCTCATCTCTGCCATTGTGGGGATTCCGGCGCCGTGGCTGCTGTGGCGGTACGGGCCGTACCTGCGGTCCAAGAGCCAGTACGCGTCCAAGCAAAAGGCGGGCAACGCCCTGTCGTGAGCGGTCGGTCATCCAGCAGCAGCAGCAGTGGCGACGGGAGCGAGGGAGCGGCTTCTCTGTACGGACTGACTTTAGACTGCGGCCAATGGCCGTCGTAGAGCGGAATGAATGGAAATCGACACGGGTCATCGTGCTTTACGCCTTTGGAGACGGCAGAAAAGGGGCGGCGACGACGGAAAGATGGCGTGATGCTTCCTTTGCCTCGTCGTCCGTCCGGGAGAGGAGCGGGGCCGCGCTCGCACAAACCAGGCCAGGCCATCCGGGAGACCGAGGCCCACGTTGGCCCGCACGCCGGCAGCCGTTCAAAGCCGGAGGATGGCGCGCATCAAGGTGGGCTCTTGCTCGTGAAAGGCAGGCCGGCAGCAGGAAGACAGAGCGAGCCAGCGAGGCATAGGCGTGCGTGCTTTGCGTTGGAAGCATGAAGCGGGCGCGAGCAAGCAAAGCAAGCAAGGTGGGGCGGTCGGTCCGTATGAGCATCGCGAGGCCTTGCTTGTTGCCAGCGAGGCAGACGGCAGGCGCAGCAACCCGCGAGGCGGCCCCTTGCGCGGGGGAGGCCAGGGTGGATTTGAAATGCGGGGCAGACAGTCAGGGGGGACCCTGGCTGGCTGTCTTGGAGTCGAGCGTTTCCCCGCACTTTCGGCGTCTCCCAGGCGGCCTGCTTGCCTGCTGCTTTAGAGCTCCTCTTTGGAAGCCTGCAGCCGAGCAGGTTTCGCGCGCGCGAAGGGGCCAAGAAGGAAGGCGGGAAGGCGGGCGGGCAGGCAGGGCCGCTCAAAGTCAAGTCAAGCCGGTCAAGTCAGGAAGCGAGGATTTCAAATCGACGCGGGGCGCGGCTACGTGTGCGGGGAAACCAGGTCGCACAACCGAGAGGCAGCCCTGCCTACTTTGCCCTTCCCCGCAAATTGGCGGACGCCCCCCGCCTTTGCCTTCGCTGGCGGCACTGGGCAGCGCTGCAGCCAGCTGTGCGCGCGCAGCACACGCTTCTGTGGCCATGGGAACGGACGGCCGGCCGGCAGACAGGCAGAGCAACCTTGGCAGGCGAGACAGGGACCTGAACCCTCAGTGGCCCCCGCTTGCTTGTGCGACCACGCCTTCCTCGCTGCTGGCTGCCCTGTGCGCCTTTGCTCGCCGCCTGGTCCGCCACCCTCTGGCCTGCCTCTTGTCTCCCGGCCTGCCCTGTCAAGCCAGTCAGGCCTGGCCGAGCTGGGCGTGTCGCCGTCTCTCTAGCCTGCAGCTGCCTAGCCTGTGTGTCGGCGTGGCCCTACCTTGGCCGCCCGCCGCGCCTGCGCTTTCAGCGGCTCCTGACCGTCCCAGCCAGGTGTATGCAAAGTACGCTGCGCTGCCTGGTCTCCTGCGCCACGCTGCCCTGTGCTGGCCTGGCAGAGTGAGTGCCATGGGCTCGTGCCTCTGCTTGCTTTGTGCCCTGGTGCTGGCCCTTGGCCTTGGCCTGGCCCTGGCCCGCCTGGCCGCCCGTTTGCCCGCCCTCGCCCGTGGTACTAAAGGCCCGCCTCCTCCGTCCGCCCGCAAGCTGGCTTCTCCTCTCTTTTGCCACCATCCACCTCCCTCTTTCCCTGGTCCTCTCTCCCCCGTCAATCGCCCCATACCCACCGCCTCTTCTTTGACGATCCACTCCTGAAAACCACCCACTTTTCCCTCATCCCCCAGCGCATTCAGACCCACCCACACCTTCAACGCACACCATGGCTCGCGTCATTGTCGTCGGCGGAGGCCTCTCGGGCCTCAGCGCCGCCCACACCCTCTACGAGCGCGGCTCCAACGTCCTCGTCCTCGACAAGAACCCCTTTTTCGGCGGCAACTCGACAAAGGCCACGTCGGGCATCAACGGCGCCGGCACAAACGTCCAGGCCGAGCACAACGTTCCGGACTCGGCCAAGGTCTTTTTCGAAGAGTGAGTGCGGTCGTCGAGACGAGAGGCAGCGACGAACACCAGCTGACCCCCCGGAACGGCCTGCCTGTCCCTGCCCGCCACCTGGCCGCACAGCACCAAGAGGTCGGCGCGTGACCTCGCGCGCGACGACCTGATCAAGGTCCTCACGGGCAACTCGGCCAGCGCCATCCACTGGCTGCAGGACGCCTTTGAGCTGGACCTGTCCAAGGTGTCGCGCCTCGGCGGCCACTCGCAGCCCCGCACGCACCGCGGCGGCCAGCGCTTCCCCGGCATGGAAATCACCCAGGCCCTCATGGAGAAGCTCGAGGACCTCTCCGAGTCGGACCCGGAGCGCATCCAGATCCTGCGCAAGGCGCGCGTCGAGAAGCTCATCTACGAAAACGGCGAGGTGCAGGGCGTCGAGTACTCGTACCAGGGCCAGACGCACAAGGAGCTCGGCCCCGTCGTCCTCGCCACGGGCGGATACGCCGCCGACTTTGACGACGTCAACTCGCTCCTCAAAAAGTACCGCCCCGACATCATCCACCTGCCCACCACCAACGGCGACCACTGCACCGGCGACGGCCACAAGATGGTCGCCTCGCTCGGCGGCCGCCTCATCGACCTGGAAAAGGTCCAGGTCCACCCGACGGGCCTCGTCGACCCCAAGGACCCCGACGCCAAGGTCAAGTTCCTCGCCGCCGAGGCGCTGCGCGGCGTCGGCGGCCTGCTCCTCGACAACGAGGGCAACCGCTTCGCCGACGAGCTCGGCCACCGCGACTACGTCACCGGCCGCATGTGGGACAACGACAAGTTCCCCGTCCGCCTCATCCTCAACGAGCAGTCGTCCAAGGAGATCGAGTGGCACTGCAAGCACTACACCGGCCGCGGCCTCATGAAGCGCTTCGACAACGGCCGCGACCTCGCAAAGGAGATGAAGATCCCCGTCGAGAAGCTCGAGGCCACCTTCAAGGACTACGAGGCCATCGCCCGCGGCGACAAGAAGTGCCCCTGGGGAAAGAAGTTCTTCTCCAACGCCGACTTTAAGCTCGACCAGCCCTTTTACGTCGCCCTCATGACCCCCGTCCTGCACTACACCATGGGCGGCCTCGAGATCGACCCCAAGTCCCAGGTCATCGACACCCAGGGCAAGCCCATCCCCGGCCTCTTTGCCTGCGGCGAGCTCGCCGGCGGCGTCCACGGCGCCAACCGCCTCGGCGGATCCTCGCTCCTCGGATGCGTCGTCTTTGGCCGCGTCGCCGGCGACACCGCCTCGAGCTACCTCCTCCACCGCCTCGTCACCGGCAAGGCCGTCGCCCGCGCCGGTCAGATCGCCAACCACCTCGAGACCCGCGTCCGCGCAGACCCCAACAGCCACACCATCACCCTCGAGTTTGGCTTCTCCGGCGCCGGCGCCGCCGGCCAGCAGCAGCAGCAGCAGCAGCAGCTCACCTCGGCCACCCCCTCGCCCGTCGCCCAGGGCCAGGTCTCGGCACAGCAGGCTCAGACCTCGAGCGCCGCCCCCCAGAAGCAGGAGAAGCCCGCCGAACAGAAGGAGTACACCATGGACGAGGTCGCCAAACACAACACCAAGGACGACGTCTGGGTTGTCGTTGAGGGCAAGGTCTTGGATGTCACCAGCTTCCTGCCCGACCACCCCGGCGGAGGTGAGTTCCTCTCCCCTCGTCCCCTCCCTTCCCCGTGTCCTCCGCATCGCGATCGGCCCTTCTGACCTCACAAAACGCTCCTTTTGCCCTTCTGAACGTGCAGACAAAGCAATTCTCTTGTATGCTGGCCGTGACGCGACAGAGGAGTTCTTGATGCTTCATGATCCGAAGGTGCTCCACAAATACGCGTCACACACGATCATTGGTACGGTGAAGCAGTAGACAGCTCACCGGCGGTGTTCGGGGGACCAAGACGAGCATCGTGGGTCTTTCCGAGGCGACTTTTCGTGCCTTGTCGCGGCGTCTCGACTCAGTCAATCGTACGACGGCACAACGTGTCTCTTTCTCTTCGCAGCGCCGCTCGAGTGTGTGCTTCAAGCTTCGTGTTGATCAGTCTCCTCGACGGAGGCAGGACCAGGGGAATGAAATCAGGACGAGAGCCAGGAGAAACGGGTCGGGCGGGCTGCAGAGCCCGCGCGCGCTTCTTGTGCCTGGGCCCTCTTGTCCCTCTAAGCTTGACGTGCCCGCAGTGCAGCAGTGCAGCAATGCAACAGCGCAGCAGTAGTGCATCAGTGTGCATCAGTCTGCCTGATTGATGCCCCCAACTTTAACGAAGATGCCTACCCTGCCAAGAAAACAAAAAGACCTTGAAGTTGCAGATGTTGGCTGGGCCAGCTGTACAACTACTACTGCTACCCATGGCATCATGACCACTGGTGCTGATCAAGATACATTGGGGGTCTTGGATTACTGCAGGTGGCTGAGGATGGCATGTTGCTGCTTGGCCCTGAGGCGTGCTGCCCCCCTGCCTCAGAACTTGGGCCATCCTGCGGATGTCAGCCAAGGCATGGCCTGACACAATACCCTTGTGCTACAAGTCTTGGCTCTTTCTGGGAAAAGCAGGATTGGATCATCCTGCAGTCCTTGTGCTGATGCACCTGGCAAAGGAAGTGATCAAGGGCTGAGCCTTGGGCACAACTTTGCCTGGGTCTGCAAAGTCTTGATGCCAATCTTGTCTGTCCTTCCTGTATCACCTCCTCCAAGCGGATGCGCCCCTTGAGCTCGCCCCGTATTGGATGAATTGGGCCAAAAAATCTGAAAGCCCCCTCACAGTACCGACCCTGGTCCTCGCAGCCTTTGGGAAGGCACAGGGACATCATCTCAAGCTTGAGGACTGGTGCGACAAGCCAGCCCAGTTGGACAAGACATGATCAAGGGTGAAGGGGACCAGCCACCAGATGCACACAGTGCAGCTGGTGAAAGCGTACACATATGGGTGGGAAACCAATTCGGACAAGGTGGCCCAAGCGGTGCGGTGTCATAGCTAGTAGCAGGTGCATCTGGGATGTTTTGGGGCGTATGAGTGCTACGCTTCCCCCCAGAGTCTTCAGCTACGATTTGAGAAGCGGCCACCGTAAAGCTGCTACACATCAGAAGCATAGGTACTCCTGAGAACTTTTGAAGTGCAGCATGTCTACGCTTCAGGGCATCCAGAAGTGTAGATTTGCTACAATCCTGAAGCATAGAACACCAGTTGGTCTGAGGGCTGTAGGGGTCCTACGGTGCTGAGGTTCCTGAAGTGTAGGGCCCCTACACTTCTGGGGACTGCAGGAAGCCCTACACTTCTGATGTGTAGGGGCCCTACCCTGGCTGCTTCTAGGACCGTAGCCCAAGACTCTGGGGGGATGCGTAGCACCCTTACACCCCAGATGAACCCAGATGCACCTGCTGCTAGCTATGTGTCGGCATCTGTCTCGGCCGAGAAGCCACGCAGCGCAACAGACAGCAGCAGCTGGCGCCAGGGTGTGATCTAGCCCTGGGGCCCGGCTGCTGCTTCCCTTCTGAATCCCATCGTCTTGGTCATCGAGAGCCTTTGTGTCAGCGGGAGGTCGAAACAGGCACTCCACTCGCCCCACAAGCGTTCAAGAAGCACTTCACCGACAACACGATCAAGGGCCAGGAGGTACTGCGCCCGGCGGCCTTGATACTGTGGGCCGAGGCGGCGGAGCTCAAGGCTCAGAGAGATGCCTCCCGGACGATTGAGCCTCTCTGCAGCAGCCTCGAAGAGCGCGGCGAGCTTTCGACAGCCGGCCGCCTGTCCCCCAAGGCCGCCTTCCCCGGACTCCTGTGGCCAGGGGAGGAAGAGTTTGAAGAGGACGACATCGTCGGGGGGCGTCCCGGCGAAAGAGCCTTGTGATGTGTGCGTGCCCATTCTGGCCGTCGTCTGCCTCGCCCTCGAGATCAGCAGATCCGGGGGTCGAGACCAGCTGACGGGCCTTCGATACGGCCCTTTCGGAACCCACCATCCCCTCAAAGCCAGTCTCGGCCACACCAATCATCTCGAGCTGTCCAGACTGCGCGACCTCCATCTCGACGCCTTGCACGACGACAAGCCCGCGCCGGACCAAGTTGATGCCCTCGTCGACGCGTTCCAAGGGCTGCTGGCGGGAGTCAAGGCGACGATCCAAGCCTGGGGTTCCAACAGTCTCATCAAGTCGTGGCTGCCTACTACTCTGTCCGTGGCTCTCTCAAGCTGTGTCGAAAGGTGCGCTCGATCTCCGAGGAGTTTGCCCTACCGACGAGGGGCATCGACTTTGGCAGGGCGATCACCTTGGCCGACCTCTCTGCCTTCGCTTATAACGGCGGTGAGATTGGCGGCGGCCTCGGACCGCCGGATCACCGAGGCTCTGTCGAAGGCGACACCGGCGGCCCAGGTGCGAGCTCGAGCCGCGTCACGCTCGACAGCGGCGGTGGCGACGGCACTGGCAGCGCAGTCGCGACCTCGAGCCGTGTCACGCTCGACAGCGGCGGTGGCGGCGGGCCCAGCAGCGCATTCGGCACCAGCGGCGGCACCGGAAACGCCATCGCGGGCTCGAGCGGGGTCGGAGGCGCCGTCGCGAGCACGAGCAGAGTCGCATTGGACAGCGACGACGGCACGGCCCGCTCCCTTGCGGGCTCGAGTGGGGTCGCCTTTGCTCGCAATCTCAAGCATGGTTGAGCTCCTCTCACGAACGCCTCTCCAGCAACCGCTGCCAGCATTCTCTCGTGCTGATCACTCACCCGCATCATCATCGCCCCACGCCAGCCCTAGCCAATCCCCTTTGCTGCGCTACGCACTGCGCGAATGCCGGTGCCACGGAAATCGAGTCATCTGGGCTATCGGCGGGCGGCCTTGTTCTTTGCGGCTTTTGCAATCGATGATGAGTATGGCTTTCCATGTCGGGACGGGAAGGGACAGGGCCATGTCGTGGGCCAGAGAAAGACCGGAACGAGGGGGGCTCGGGAGAAGAACAGAAAGAGGACGGGAGGGGTGAACACGGCAGGACGCCCTGAGGGATGTTGGGCCAGTCTGACCACCACCCGGGACAGGCAAGGTGTGCTCTGGAAAGCACGAACAGGCAAGCCGAGCCGCATGTGCGACGGCGAGCTCGCAGCCTAGGCGGCGTAGGGCTTTGCGTAGCTCATGAGCGGGGGCTCGGCGGGGACGACGTCGGCGGTGGGGAACGAGGTGATGGTGTTGAGGCCGGCCTGGAAGGCGTCTGCGACGCTCGAGAAGGTGTCGTTGCTCAGTCCGGAGCCGTAGGGGTAGCTGTAGCAGGAGCGCTTGTCGATGGCGGCGCGCGAGATGGGCGCGCCGACGGCGAGGGACTTGTATCCGATCTCGAAGGCGGCCGAGTCGACGAGCATGCTGGCGTGGTCGGCGTAGTGGAAGGCGCCGCAGATGTCGCTGGCCTGGAGCGGGTAGAGGCTGGCGTTGTTGATGACCGACGTGGCGCCGGAGCCCGTCTCGGGCGTGACGACCTGGTCGGTGAGGGTGTAGATGGAGGCGGTGGGGACGACGGCGCTGCCCGCCGTGGCCTTGGAGAGGGTGTTGACAAAGTGGCTGCCCGTCGACTGCTGCCACTCGGCGGCGGGGCACCCGCCCTGGGTGATCTTGGCGCTGCTGCAGTAGAGGATGCCGTCGAGGGTGCCCTTGAAGTCGGCGGCGAGGGCAATGTACTCGGCCGTGACGCTGCGCGCCGCGACGGGCCAGAAGGTGAGGGCCCACTCGACGTTGAGGTTGCCCTGGCTGTGGGCCACGATGCCCACCTTGCCCGTCGACGACTGCGGAGCGAGGTACTGGATGCCGCGCGCCACGTACTCGGCAGAGATCTGGATATCGCCCTGGCTGCGGTCCGGCAGCGTGATGTAGCACACGTCAAAGCCCGGTCCGAGGGTGGGCAGCAGCGACGTCCAGGGCCCGTTGCCCCACGACTCGGGACCGGTGCTGCCCGTGCCGTGGACGAGGAAGACGATGCCTCCGGCCTTGCCCTGGATGCCGTTGGGGCAGTTGATGACGTTCTGTGCCGTCGCCGCCGAAACGGAAAAGGGCGCGTCGCTCGTCGGCGGCACCGCGGCGCGCTTGGCGAGGGGCGAAGGGGCCGCGAGGGCCAGCGGCGCAGCCACGAGGGCGAGCAGCAGGGAGCGGGGCGAGAAGATCATTGTGGGGTATGGAGGGGATGGGATGGGGGTCGCAAGGCTTTTGAGAGAGGAGAAAAGCACAGGAGGGGTGTGGAAATGATTGAGGATGGCGAGGAGAAGGCGATGATCAGGGCGATGCCGCGTCTACTTATGGACCTCTGTGGCGCAGCGCGGCGGTCATCGGAGGTCAGCATGTCTTTGGTGGACTGCGCTGCATCGTGCACGATCTCCGCGAAAGCTGGCCATCGATATCGTCAAAGGCAGGCCGGGCGCTCGAGGATGGCTGCTGCCACCGGCGGTGTTGGTGAAACGGCGGATCGACGCGTCGGATATACCCTTGCCTACCCCGCACCGCCGGGCCGCGCCCTCGCCCTCGACGACCTCGTGGCGCTCGGCAAGGAAGGAGGGGGGAAGAAGGTTCAATCGGTGCCTGCGGGGCGTTGATCGCTTGCACTGGATCTCACGACGGCGGTTGGGAAGATGCGAGCGGTTGATACGGGCGCTGCGGTGGGTGGTCACGGCGGGCGACGACGCCCAGATCGGCAGAGGAAGGACGGCCGCTGCGCGCGTCGTGCGTACCCGACCCTGACCCTCTGCTGCCTACCTGATCAGGCTTCGCAACTCCGCACCGATACCGTGGGTCAGGATGGACCGGTAGTTGGGATCGCCCGACCGGCTGCTTTCGGATACCGGTGCAACTGATGCCGGACGGCCCAAAGGGGGACAGGGGACGAGGATGGGCGGCAATCGGTACGGTTAGAGCGGGCGGCATTGGACATGTGTGCGTGTATGCGAAGTCGGCAAAGGATGTCTCCTCCCTGACAGGGCAGCCCACGTGGGTATACTCCGTCGCCGCTGCGGCGGGCAGTACAGTAGCGATGCGGATGGCAAACGCCCCCCTCCCCGCCCCGCCCCGCGCCGGGCTACGCTCGCGGAGGATAGAAGGGAGGAGTTTGGAAAGACGGCGAATCGCGCTCGCTCGGCTGCCTCATCATCTTCCCAGAATCGATGGGCTGATGTCGACAACGACGGCACAGCGCACAGACCTTCCGTCTCCTTGTCGTCGTCGTCGTCGTCGTCGTCGATAGTGCGCCCGTCCCTCGACCTGCACACCATGAGCCGAAAGAGGAAAGAGGGGGCCCCACAAACCCCAGGGCGGACGAGTCGCTGACCCGAGGCGCAGTCGCGCTTGCCGAAAAGGCCTTCCGACCATTGCGGGTCGGCGGCAGGGCAGCAAAGAGACCAAAACCTTTCGATCTCTTCTCCCTGATGGCGGTGTACCTCGCCGTCGATCCCTCTTACCGCCGCGTCCGTGCACCCAGGCAACGACAGCCGGTCCTTGATGTCGTGTGCGCGCGGCAACGCCATTCCATCCTTCCTCTTTTGACCATAGCAGCACCAACTCCGTCGACACCTCCCTCATCTTCGCTTGCGCCGTCTCGCATCGCCTTCGCCGCCATCGTCGGCGTCTCGCTCGCTCTGTCATTCATCGACGCTCTCCTCGCCTCGACGCCCAGCGCCGTCAATCTCGCCTTCTCTCTGGCTCTCGAACCTTCGGGCGAGGACGGAAGCAGACCGCTCCTCCATGGACTGCACGTCTGTCTTCGCACCCCTGCAGCCTGGTCAACGCGCTCCCTTGTTCCTTTCTCGCTCACGATGTTCTTTGTCCGCGCACGTTCCTTCCGCGGAGGACGCCTCAATGTGCTCATCCCCTCGCGCCCGGTCAATCGCCCAGCCTCGAGCGACCATACCCAGGCTACAGACCGATCGCCTCTCCAATCGCTACGTCGACGGTCCCCCCGTGTCTGAGTCTGCTCTGTCGACGTACCTAGCTGGCTTCCGTCGTTGCGCCTCGGCCACGAGGCCGCCTCACCTCGCCGCTCCCCTTTGACACCCGCTTGAAGACGTGCTTCCAGGGTCTGCAGATGGAGCACGCAGGCCGTTCCTTGACGCTCCAGGTGGAATCCTCGCATTGCGTCCGAAGTTGGGCAGGAACGAGGGCCGGGCGTCGTCCTTGTCCTTGTGAGGCGTCTCTGAAAACCCGAGAAAGGCCGGACGATTTGTGAAGATGTGACTGCAAAAGTGCTAGAACTCGTTGATCTCATCGCAACCATTACAACGGGCTCCTTTCCAACTATTCCCGCCTCGACGGCCGATCCGATCCGACGTTAAGACGGCCGCTGACTGTCGGCTTGCTTGGCATGGGCATTCTCAACGGGATCTTGGTCCTTTCGCAGGGGGCGAGGAAAGGCTTGTCGCATTCGGAGTATCTAGAGCAATCTAGCAACCAAGAATCCAGAGTCGAGTCCCATGGTCGCCGAGGAACGGCGAGCCAAAGGGCCGGTTGATGTCGAGCCCCGCCCTCGCACAGGCCAGCCTGCTCAGCCCGCCCAACCGCGTCCAGCCGACAGGTGGAGGCAGGTAAGCGCCCGCTTCCGCTCGACCACCACCACCACCTCGTCGCTCTCCCAACGCCAATCGCATCGCATCGCGCGCGCGCCCTACGACGACGACGACGACGACGACGACGACGGCCGCCGCCGCCCCTACCGCCCCGCAATGTCGCACGTCGTAGCGGTGCTCAAGTCGGCCTGGTCCTCGCTCAACCTCGAGCTCAAAAACGAGGGCAGCGTCGCACGAGACCACCTCGCCTCCGAACGCACCTTTCTCGCATGGCTCAGGACCAGCCTCAGCCTCGTCTCAATCGGCATGTCGGTATCCACTCGGTCCCAGCCGGCGCCGGTCAGCAGCCCCAGCTGAACTCCTCCTCTCCCTGCCCTCTGTGTCCTTCGCTCCCGGCCCCTCCCCACAGCGCCCTCACCCAGATCTTCCAGATCCCCTCGCTCGTCGGCCACAAGTCGCTCAGCCAGCGCGCACACCTCCTCCTCCTCCTCCAGCAGCAGCAGCAGAGCGGCGACTACCTCGAAGCAGACGATGCACTGCTCCCGCGCGAGGTCCACCGCGATCTAGCAAGGCTGTGAGTACCGAAGCGGCCGATGTCGACCCACGATGCAGGCGACGCGCTGATGCTCACGCGTCCTTCCCTCTGCCTACACCGTCAACGACGCACAGTGGCAAGCCGGTCGGCGGCGCCTTCATCATCCTCGGCACCATCGTCCTCCTCCTCGGTGAGACACGCGCGTCGTCTCGCCTCCGCCAGGCCTTGGCCGACATCGCGGCTGACACTCGCACCTTGCCCCTCCCCCCCCGTCTCGCTCCAGGCTGCCGCAGGTACTTTGTCGTACAGGGCCAGTTGACCAGGGGCAAGTTCCCGCCATCAAAGCTGTCCAGTGAGTTGAGCGTCGATCGTCTGGTCTCCTTTCGAGAAGACCCGCCACGCCGAACAGACGTGGCGTCCAAACCCGCTGACGCCCTCTGCCCATCGCCATCGATGAGCAGTCTCGATAACCGCGGGCCTGGCCGGCGCGCTCATCATCGCAGCCACATCGGTAGTCCTCGTCGGCGAGCGCACCTGAGACGCCGTCTCTGCCTGCCCCGTAATACCAGCCGAAACATTCTTGCGAAGCGTACGCTCCTCAGCTCTTGGGGCCATTCCAAGCTTGGCCGACGGTCGCCGAGCCAGCGCCGCTACGCTGCGATGCGGAAAAGTGAACCCGAGCTCTCAACATTACGGTCAGCCAGGCTGGATGCGAGACTGGGTGGTCAATATTGTGCGGACGGCCCGGCAATGGACCTTTGATTGAGTTACCGCCAATCGGGCTGGCGTAGTTTCCGAGAAATAACAAAAGGCAGTCACCGTTTATTGCTGCGTGCACGCATACGTTGACCTCTTGCGCCTCATCGATGAAAACGACAAGGGAGGGCAGGGGGCAGGCAGGGAGTGATCGCGTCGACGCTGGGCTCACTGCGACGGCGGTGCGGGCGACGGAGCGGACGCGTCGACGCGGGGGGTTGCGACGGGCGCGCGCGGGCTCTCGGGCTGCACGGCACCTCGGCCGTCGTCCTGTGCGGCCTCGAGGCTGGCCTTGACGGCGGCGGGCGTCGAGATCGACAAGGTCTCGCTGCCGACGGCGGGGGCTTCGGTCGATGGCGCAGCGGCGACGGTGGCGTCGGGGAGCTGTGTCGCCGACGCTGCGGTCGCCTTGGCGTCGGGGTCGACGCTGGCCTGCGGCTGCGGCTGCGGCAGGCCGAGTCCGATGGCCGATGCCGGTGGCGGGTTCCGCTCGCCATCCTCGAGCACCTTGAAGGCCTGTGCGGCGGCGCCGGTGGTGGGCCCGGGCGCC